AGGAGGGACTGTTTCATCATTTGTGGAGGGTGCAGACCTCCTCTGCACGTCACATCCTCTCTGCATCCTCTTCTTGTACAGTTAGAGGGGTGCCAGCGCTGGCTCCATCACTCTGCCAAAAAAAATGGGAGGATGTGGGCTCTTAGAGGAAAAAATAGCAGGAACAAGGCAGATTGCACAGTACAAACAAAACAGATTAACAGCAGGTCACAGTGTGCTTTGGAAGGCAAAAACTGCCAAATTTTCACGTCTGCTGAAGTGGCACAGAGTGACTCAAAGCCATTGTAGGGTGTCCCAGGAAAATGGGAATGGCTCTGGGGACAGCCCCTCACAACACACCACTGAGGGAGGGCTGGGAAGGCAGATGGCATCCCTGCAAGGCAATGGGCTGCTTGTCTGCACTGCTCTAACCTAATCCTAGACCTAACCCTAACTCTAACCATAACCCTAGCCCAACCCAGAGCCGGGCTGAAGCCCTGAGGCTTCAGCAATTGCAAACTGTTTCCTTGGATTCCTCTGTCTCATTTCATTGTATTTCTGCCTGGGTAAAATAGGATTTTCAAAGGGAAACTGCATGGCAATACACGAGCGCAATTCATCATGTGTTGGACGTTTATATTGTAAATGGAAAAAAAAAAGTGTTTGTTGCCACAAGGAATCTGATTTGGGCTTGTTGCAGTCACAACTCAGGGGATCCAAAATCTGCTTTCATCTCTGAACTGAAGCAGCTGGCATCTTCTGTGTGTGTCCAGTTAACACATCTGGCTCCGTCTGAGATAAATATTGCAATGCCTATCAGCCAAAAAATATGCTAACTTTAAAGGAATTTTGCTAAAGTGATGGGATGAATCTGAACACCCAGCACACAGAAGACAAGACTTGTATGAAGAATCTGGACACCTCATTTCCCAGCTGTCCATTCCCAGAGATTGATCCTTCTTCAGGGAAATTCTCTTACCAGCATCATCGTACATACCCCAGTCTGCTCTGTTTTCCACTTTCCTATTTTCTTTTAAATCTGTCCAGGGACACAATGCTGGGGTATGTGATCATTGCTCTGTGCTGGGTATGGTCCCTCTGCTTTGCCAATGCACACACCAATGCACTCACACTAAGGAGCCTCAGCAGTTTCCTCTGCTATGAAAATCAGAGGCAATAAATAACTCATGTATCAACAGTTTTGATTTAAAATACTGAAATCACTTCAGCCAAATACAGTAAGTAACGTGCACCAACTAGCAATACTTCATTTTGCAATACATTGAGTAATGCAGTGCTTGTAAATAATGATGCAGTCAATATTATAGTCAAAAGAGCTGATAGATGCCCACTTTTCTATCACTCCTTTCTTCCTCTCTTTCTTGAACAAAACTTCCTTGTACCTCCCAGGATTGAACCTTACTAACCCACCTTAGACACCTCTGACTTTTAGGGATGTTTGAAGAAGGGAGCACCTGTCCCAGTGATTTCAATGGGATCTGACTCCATAGGTTTGAACCAGGAATCTGCTCTAACAGATATATAGGGTGGGGAGCTGTGACCTCAGAAAAAGGAAAAGGCTGACACAGTCTTTTAGCATTTGCTTCTTGCAAAGCTTTCTCTTTGCTGCTTTTCTTGTCCTTCAGATAAATCCTACCTGGAGAAATCAGACCGCAATAGGGTTAACATGAATAATTCCTAGTGGTCCCAGCTGCAACGGGAAAAGCAAAGAAGAAAAACACTTGGGTCAACATGAAAGGGAGTGAGGCAATCTGGGGGCCTTGTATCCTGCTCACTGTGGGACCCTCAGCTCACAGTCCAGGAAGTTTTAATAGGCAAGGTCTTTAGGTGATATTTTCCTGCAAGATTTTAAGTAAATGCCTTGCAGTAACATTTGAGATCAGGAGCCTGTTGGTTTCCATGATTCTTTTCTGTTCTAAGCCACAGACACACACATACAAAATATATTAAAACGAGCCCAGCTTAGCTAAAAGGTCGGCTAGTTCAGAAACAAACAGCAGGGATTTAGGCTGGAAGCTTTAGCGCAGCGCACAAGGAGAGAAGGGTGCACCTCTGGCTCTGCTTTTGCTTGAAGGAGAATATGGATTACATCCCTGCAGAGAGCAGAGGTGAAGGCAAGAAGAGATGGTTTGGCATTCATTTCAATACCTCACACAAGGAAAGGGACTGCACGTATCCTTCAGGTCATGCACAAGTGATGGGGACACTAATGGTGTGCTGGGAGATGTTCTCTGTGGGCTGGTGTCTGCTTGGCACTACAGCTCTGCCCATTCCAAGGGAAGGGTTTTCAGGGCTCAGCTCTGCACCAGAGGTAGGTATCCAGCTCTGTAAAAGTGATGTGAGGGCAGAAGGTAGAACAAGACCTTCTTATAAAGATGAGAGAGGCTGACCCTTTTCCAGCTGGTGATACACTAAGGCTTGCTTTTATTTTCTTCTTTACAAGGTGACCCATGTTTGTGCATGGGGAATGGCAAGGCTGCATGTCAGCAGGCAGACTTTGAGAAGGCAGCACACTCAGGCTCAGCTAGGATAAACTGGTGGTAAATTTACCAGCACCGGTGTACATTAGAGAGCCACGTTGTGATTTCACATCTAGTCATGCATTCATGCTCTCCGATGTCTCTACAAGAGGTGCAAGCTAGCTAGAGGAGCAGTGAGTTGACATCCTAACTATTTAGACTCATCTGCTAGGAAGAGCTGAAAAAGAGGTACCCTTCCAGGGGACTTTTAGGAAAGCAGAGATTTGGCAGTTGACACAAACTGCACCAGCCTGATGAAGTGCTGATTGTAAATCAACAGCTACATTGATTCCTGGTAGATGATATTTCAGAGTGTAATTAGAATTCTCTTTTAGCTATATCTCTGGGTATTCTCTGCCAGCACTTGGCACGGAGGGAAAGTAGAGGTGGTACCTGGAACACTTGGAAACGGCTGCTGGGACAGAGTGAGGAGATGTAATATCTTCCTTGTCAGCAGCCGTGCCTGCCTCGCCTGTGTGCAGAAACACGGGGCAACAGAATCCAAAACAGAGCATTTCTACAGACAGCTATTGATATAAACGTGCACATACACACTGTAAAATTAGACCAGCAGATGGGTATCTAGTTTATGGGGATAGCAATTGCTTTCCACAAGGCCAAAATGAAGTTACAGGGCCAGGAAGGGACAATAACTCTTTGTTATGGACAAGGATCCCAAAGGAACTCTTTCACTGCCTCAGGGAGAAGCACTTCAGTGCAGGAGCAGGGCTTTGGGCTTGGATCACAGGACTATAAGCTACTGCTAAGGAATAGGAACTCATGGGATCCAAAATCTGCTCAAAACTTCTCTGAATTGAAGCACACCCTCACTGCAGCTGCACTTCAGACAGCTGCACAAGGACATGGAACAAGGGGTGAGAGAAGCTGGGGGCCCCAGCCCTGACAAAATCCTCCATGCTGACAGAGACCTCATAACAAAAACTTGTAGGTAAAAGGAACGTTAGTGCTAAGAGATTATTAGTCATTCTTTAAAGCAGTGTGGGATGAATGCTAGAAAACATTTCTCTCCGTGTTTATATGGCTACATAAGACTGAATAAATCTGATTTTGGTCAGCTTTCTGTGGTGATGCTGTCAGCTGGATATAAGAGAAATTTGGGGGAATGTTGGTTGTTGGTGACCAGCTGTGTAAAGTCCACTGTATGCATGCAGAGATTATTTGATCGACCGCAGGATTAGATATCTTCTGGCATCAAATAGATAAGTGGTCTGCAAGGCATCAGTGCGCTCAGAGTCCACCGGTGTTTGGAAACACAACATCTGTCAGCATATAAATTCAGACAAGCTATGGTTGCCTTGGCCAAATCAGTGGATGGGAAATCCCTGGATGGGATTTCCTAGATCTCTGTGCAATAGTAAAGAGATTTATCATCAAGACAATTGAGTAAACAGCTCACTGAGGTTTTACAAGGCAGCATCCAGCTCTGCACCCCAAGCCTGAGAAAGTAACCCTCAGTAGCCCCTGTCCTGGAGAGCCCTTTGCTGTGGGGGATTCCTTTATCACTCTCAGCATCACGGTGGCATCCTCGCACTCTCTGCAACAGAGCAGCTCAGAGAGGACGCTCATCTCAGAACTGGAGGATGTGGAGCTAAGGGAAAAGAGACATATGGGGATCAAAGCAAAGCAGCTCACTGCTGATGCTGCTGAGCTGTAGGGCTGAGAAGCCTCAGGGCAGAGGTAGATATCTTTATGTGTTTTAAATTCATTTTAAATGCATTCCTCCTAGAAGCAGCAGAGTTTGTGAGTATTTGGATGCTCACAGGGCATGGGAATGTCCAAGAGTGCATTGCTGGTGTTCTCTCACGACTGGGGGGTGGGGAAAGGGGGGGGGGGAGAATCGAGCTGAAGGGGTAATAGGACTAGGACACTTTCCCAATCCCATGCCAGCCCTCACCTTACAGCTATGCCTGACTTCGCATGGGATGGAGAAGGCGGGTTCCAACGGGAGGAGAGGGACCCAGTCCCCGGGGTTCTGCAGCCTCCTTTCCCCAGCCCAGCCGCTCCTCCTCACGGGCTCCAGTTCGGGTACCGGGCTGGGGCTGCCGAAGCCGTTTGGCGGCGGGGCTCGGGCAGGGGGAAGCTGAGAGGAGGGGCCTCCCCGGGGCCGGGGGAAGGCAGCTCGGGGGGCGGCGGTGCGGCGTGTGCCGGCACGGCTGTGCGAGGCGGGCTGCGGTGTGCGTGTGCGTGTGTGTGCAGGGAAAGCCTACCGTGCACATCTGGGCTCCGGGAAGCTGCAGGGAGGAGATTCCAAAGCTGCGGGCTGCACACAGCTCGGCGAGGCTGCTCCGGTGTGTGTGTGTTTGTGTGTCACACACTCACTCACGCACAGCAGCCCGGCAGCTGCAAGCGCCTCCTCCCCGCCGCATTAAAACGAGCCAAGTTTCCTCGCTGGGGGCAGCGGCACGTCGGGGCGGGCGGCGGCTCCGAGCTGCAGCCCCGGTGGGGCGGCCCGGCCACGGGATGCATCCCAACGCCACGGCCCCGGCCGTGCCCGGCGGCTCTCAACACCTCCACTCCAATGCCTCCAACCGCTCCGACCTGCTCTCCAAAGGACCCGACGAGGAGGATCTGGACGTCAACACCGATATCTACTCCAAAGTCATGGTGACCGTTATCTACCTGGCTCTCTTTTTGGTCGGCACCGTGGGGAACTCCATCACGGCGTACACGTTGGTGCGCAAGAAGTCGCTGCAGAACCTGCAGAGCACCGTGCATTACCACCTGGCCAGCCTCGCCTTCTCCGACCTCCTCATCTTCCTCCTCTGCATGCCCATCGAGCTCTACAACTTTATCTGGGTCCATCACCCCTGGGCTTTCGGGGGAGCTGTCTGCAAGGGCTACTACTTCCTCCGGGATGCCTGCACCTACGCCACGGCGCTCAACATCGCCAGCCTCAGCGTGGAGCGCTACATGGCCATCTGCCACCCCTTCAAAGCCAAGAGCATCATGTCCCGCAGCCGCACCAAGAAGTTCATCAGCTGCATCTGGATTGCCTCCTTCCTCCTCGCCATCCCCATGATCTTTACCATGGGGGAGATTTATGCTAAGGATCAGGATCCGGATTCCATCATCTGCACCACCATCGTGAACACCTCCACGCTGAAGACGGTCATCCAGGTGAGGACCCTGAGCAGCCGGGGCCGGGCGGCCGCCTCATTCCCTGTGCTGGAAAAGCCCAAACTTTGTCCAGAGCAGGGCGGAGTGGGTGGGGGAGACGAGGCTGGGGAGCCAGCTTTGGGAAACGGGGAAGCAGAGCATCCCCGACTGGACGGGACAGGACGGCGTGGGGTGCGGGCGGGCGGCGGGATTTGGGGGGCGGGGGGATGTCGGCTGTGTTTGTTGTGCCCCCATACGGCTCGTGCCCCTCCAGCGCCAGGCTGAGCACCGGGTGAACTCCGCAGCAGGGTAAGTCCAGCCCCGGGCTGGCGCAGCCCCCTCCGAGCAGCTGTTCCTGCTGCCCGCACGCAGCCCGCCGTGTCCCGGAGCGGGGCCCTCCGTCCCGCACTCCTGCGAGTTGCATGCAGAGATCCTCCGCCTTTCTTTGCACTCCCTCCCCTTCGGCTGGTAAGGGACCAGCAGCATCAGGGCAAATAAACCCATCTTTCTGCTCTCCTCCCCCTTCCAGCTTCTTGGGATGACCTGCAGCTCATTTCATCTGTGAAGTAACAGACTGATCTCACAAAGTTTTGGGCAGCGTAGGCAGCCGACAGGAACAGCAACTGCAAAGCTGGAGGCTGCTATTTGGGCTGTTTGAGGAAAACCATAGCTGGTTTAACTAGTGGCCCCCTCCCTGATTTCAGAAAGGCTTTGCTGGTCTCCATGCACTGCTTAATCTAACACTTCCGTGAGTGGAAAGGATTTCAGCATCACCACTCACAGCACTCTGAGGGGTTGAGGCATTTGTTCACTGGAGCATTAGGCTTGAAAAATGCAAGAGAAGTGGAAGGAGAGAGCAAGACACCAATCTCCATAGCTCCTTTGCCGCCAGGCTTACATGTGATAGCTTTTCAATCTTCTATTTGGAACATGAATTTCAGGTGGGTCTAATCTGTAGCCTATTAGGGTTTAAAACTGCAAGTGTACTAAAGCTTTCAAAATGTTCCTGCAGGTAAAGATCTTAAATGGAAACAGAACTAAAAGTGGGCGAGGATACAGACAGTAGTAAGCCCAGAGCCTGCAGATGTTAAGGGATGTCTCTCTGAGTTTCCCACTGCACTACTGCTCCAGTGACCAAAGTCCAGCCCCCACAGAAGCACTGAATTCCCCCCAAATTTTGTCTCCACACCTAACTTTCACTTTCAGATCATGGAGGCTGTTTCCTCTGTAGCTTTGTAGCTTTTCATAGGGGCAGCCCAGTGTGCTTAACCCAAATTCCCTATTCTCTAAGGAGGCGTGAGCCGTCTGATTTAAGAACAATGTGGCTGGAATGCATTATTTTCACTTATCTTCCTTTAAAGATTAAACCCATGCTTTGTGTTAACACGATAGGGCTGAGGAGAGCGGATTATTTCCAGCCATGTCTATGGAGATTGAACAATTCTCAACATATTTTACAGTCTTGCTGTTATTCAGGATCTACCTTATCCTGTTACCCGAGGAAAAGACAGGCAGACATTAATGCATTGTGTATGAAGTTTGCCTGGGGCCTCTTCCTTACATTTTTTATCATCATTTCACTTGTGAATGTACTAAAAAATAAAAGGAAGGAGGCAGCTGTGGGGGAGGCGGGGGAGCAGCATACTTTCCTTCTTGGGGACCTGGCTACAAATGAAGATTTGCTAAGACAGGAGCTAATTTCATGGCTTGGGGCTCATTCCTCAGCACCCAACCTGAAGCAGGGCCCTGGGTCAGGGAGGGTTGCAGAGTGAGTAAGCAAAGCAGCTGCAAGTCAGGTTTGAAGTGCATTAAGGGAAACCATTGCACAGCATGTGACTGAGCATTCTCACGTTGTAAGCTGTGCAGGGGTTTTAAAAAAAAACAACGAATAATGGAAGACCTGTGAAGGAAAGGGCAATGGTAATGTGTGAGAGTGATGTGCTGAGGTCCCACAGTTCAGAAATCCGGAGCCCTTGAGTTCTGCAGAGGGCTGAGGCTGCTTCAGAGCAGGTCTCTACATCCCTTTTGTTCATTTTCTGCTTTTAAATTAATCAGAGCAATGATACATTTGCTCGAGCTGGCAAATCTCTCGTACCAAATCACTCAACATATTTCACTCTTCCTGTTTGGCCAACTGCCGAAAGCAAATTGGGATTTTTGAAAAATTCTTTTTTATTTTTTGAAACCATCGGTTCTCCAAGAGGTTTTATTTGGTGACTAATTGCAAGCCAGGCCCTGAACAGAGCAAATGTAACCTTTTATAGACTCAGAGCCCAGCGCTCACTCTGCAGAGCCCAGGAGGATGCCCCTCCCTGAGCTGGAGCCACTGCCTCCCCAGGGTGAGCAGGGTGTCCTCATTGAAGGCTCTTCCTGACAATGTTCCTCCCTCTTTGCTTGGAGTCTTGAAGTTCTGATGGACTTTCCCAAATGGAACTGCACTGTGTGAACAACCAGGTTTCCTTACAAAAAGAGAACAAGAGCTAACCATTCAAACAACACGCCGCACACTCGATTTCTGCTCATATTACTTAACATGTACCTCTCAATGTGCACAGCTCTAAAAAGTAATTACTGGCATCCCTCTAGTAATTACAGATTGCTCAGTGCAGCACACGCTGCTAAGCAGGCAGAGCAGCACACGAGTGTTCTGTGGGGTGTCACCCATCAGCACCACAGGGTGCTGAGCATCCCTCCTCATGCCACCACAGCGTGAGCTCCGTACGACCTCTGGCATTTAATTCCTTACAGCAGCATTGCTTCCCAGCTTTGTTTATCAGCAGCCTCACAGCTGCTGAAGTCAGGCTGGTTTATTATGTTTTCCCAGTGCCAAGCTTGCCTGTTCCTTCTGTCTGTTAGGGGCGTCTGGTTTGGATGTTGGCATCATTTTGGGATCTGATCGGAGGAGTAAGTCCATTATAGTACATCATTTAGGTCTAGTTAACACTTTAACTGGCACACATTCTCTAAAACAAGCTGCAGCCAATTTTATGGTGTTTTTTTTTTTTTCCCCCATACAAATTAAGCACCTCTCAAAGCCATTTCCATACAAGTAAATTAATGTTTTCATGCCACTTCAGCTGGAGGAGGTTATAACAGCTGCTCGTTGTGGCACCGCCAGATAAAAGAGCTGCGAAGCAGAGCAACGTGTGGGCTCTGTTCTCCTGCAGGTCAGCACTCGTGCTTTTGGCTGCTCATGGTTTTGCTCTCAAAACAGGAAACCGCTCAGTGACTGCCCCACATCCACCAGCATGCATCCTGTTCCAAAAAGACCTAAATTTTACTGTCTGGATGGCAGTGCAAATACTGTTTTCCTTTACTGCCACGGTGTGGCACAGCCCAGACTTGGTGGCCTTGCTGCAGAATATTCCCCAGGCTCTCACTGAGCCACCTGCAGCCTTTTGGTCTCAGTAAGGTTGTTCACATTACCCCTTTCCAAACCCTTGCTGTTTATATAGGGCCTGTGTAGGGCGTCTGATGCAACTGGTGGTTTGCTGATGCAGACAGCTGGTGAGAACCCATTTACTGAAACACATGGCAGCAGGCCACAAGCTTCCATAAATCATTGCAGCTTCATGGGCTCCAGCCTGACTACTTGCTAGGGGATCTTCTTGGGAAGCACACTGGCAGCTGTTTATCTCTCACTGGTTTGGGTGGACTTTTTCCATGCTGTGCATCATCCCACTCTTGTGTGGCTGCAGCTCTCCCACCCTGCAGGTCCATTAGTTGTTGTTTTATGAAGTCTGCTCATGGTAGAGTACATGAGACATGGTAGAACACATGAAACAACCATTTGCCCAAGCAGGTACTCTGCTTTATTTCCTCTTGCATTGAAGTAATGTGCTGAAGGGCTTCAGATCTGATGGGATGTAAAGGAGGGAGCAGACACTGGGGCTGGGATGGAGGAGCTCTTTCATGCATTCAAGATCCCTCACACAAGGCAGCTGGCCTGAACACTTCCCTGGCCCTAAGCACGCTTCCAAGTTCATCTATTCAACCCCCATTTATCCAAGGGGCCCAGCATCCCACACAGAGTGTTGCAAACACTCCCTTACACCTTCTGCAGTGAGGACATGTGGCAGGATGCCTGGCAGGTCCATGGGGCCCTGCAAATAAACCTGGCAAGGGTCTCTCCATAGCACATGAAAAACAGCAGTGAGTAAAACCAAAGGGCTGAATTCTCTCCATATTTGCTTGCATGTCGTATCCAGGATTAGTCGATGGCTTCAGTTCAGGAATTCTGCGTTTATACTAAAGTTGGCTGGAGGAACTGAGGCTGGTCTCTTTTCCTTAAGTCACAGCCAAATTCCTGCTATGGCTTTTAGTAGCAGGGCTGTTTTCAGTCACTTACACGACAATAATCTTACCCCTGAAGCCTGGCTGATAAACTATTTTGGATAGAGGCGCAGTGTCTCTGCCCACCAGGACAGCCCACTCAGCAGCAGCACAGGTCAGCTCCTTTGTGGAAGGGCTGTGTCCGATGCAAGGTTTTAAAAGTCTTCATCTTTCCACAGACTGCACAGGTCCTTGGGACTTTAATCCAGCAAACTCAGCCCACCCAGTCCCAGGCCATTTACACACAGTCCATCGTACAGCTGGATCTGACTCGAGCAAGCTCCTGTGTTTGTTGCCTTACATAACCGCTTGGTCTGCTGTGTTCTGCCAGTTCTTACATAATTTCTTCTCTTTTTTTTCCCCCCAATTGATTTTAATTCACTTGATATTTTTTTCCCTCCCCAACCCCCTTCTCGAGGTGTCAGCTGAAGGGAATCAAAAGTGAGGAAATGTAGCCGATCAATTCAGCTCTTACATTTTCCTCTTAACAGCACTTTGTAAAAGCAGAAGAGATAAAGGTATTCTACTGGCTCCTCTTCCTAGAGAAAAAAAAAATAATAATAATGCAGCTGCCTTTAATCTCCTTCCAGATCATTTAAAGCAGCTATTTAATTGTCTTCTCCCTGCTTCCCCCTTCTTCCCCTTAAAGGCTTTTTCTATCATCTCCACGCAGCATCTGCAGGAGATGT